AAATAATTCTGTTCTGAGAAAAGCCACTTTAGGCCTAGCCATGTCACCAGAGAGTTTTTCTACAGCAGTAAGAGAAGCAATCTCAAGCTGCACTGAAAGTAATATCTACACAAAATATCACTTCCACATATTCTATTCTTATTTCATGTCCCTGCTTCTTTATTTTTACAGAGGTATTGATGGTTTTGTCATAGTGGCAATATATTTTTCCATGTATATTTCCCTAATTTAAAAGCAGTTGCATTAGAAGATATGATTAAAACAGAACTCAGAATTATCCAAGTGAAAATGACCCAGATTGACAAGGTTAAAAAAGATTGTGTTTCTTTTTTATCTTTATGTCATATATTGGCTAGAAAAAGTCCTTATATACAGAAACTTTAAATAAATACATAATGAATTGAATAGTATATGGTTCTTATGGACAAAATTGATAAACATATAAAGATGCATAAAATCTAAATTTTAGATTTTATGATAAAAAGATGTGATTTGGGAAGCTGGAGATATATCTTAGTTGGCAGCATGCTTGCCTTGCATGCACAAGGGCCTGGGTTCAATCCTCAGCACCACAAAAAAAAAAAAAGATATCATTTTTGGATCCACCTAGACTCAAGAATCACAGTTGATTTAATTCAATCAATTAAAGGATATTTCTTGGCATCTATCATCTATTGCTTTGTCACATATTCTACATAAAATGGATTGCCTGCCCTTGAAGAACTTGCAATCTAACCAAAAAAAAAATTGAACATATCTTGAGAAAGACATTTTGTTTCTGAACAAAATAGCCCATGGTTGAGGGCCAAAATGAGTATATAATCACTACAGTAAGAGTTTAAGGAACAGAAAAAATTCATGACATTTTGGGTCACCAGAGATGCCTCATAACAAAGATGATAATTGTGCTGACCTGTAACAGATTAATGAATATGGCTAGCAATGAGGCTGAAATATAAAGCAGAAAAAATGACATGAACAAAACCAAAAAGCTAAGACTGATCATGGGCATGATTGTGGACAACGTTAGTCCAGTCTGTAATAAATTTCAACTTTTAGGAGGTGGTCAGAGTATGGAGAGAATCGAATGAGTGTGTATCAACAGGAAAGCTCTGTAAAATACATGACCCAATGAATGAAACATGCTATGTTTGGAGATCAGGTTTTCAGTCTCTATCTCACTTAAAATGATTCCCTAACATAGTGTGGTTTATCTTCATGTTCTCACACATACAGACCTTTGAACTACATAAAGCAAAAATCTGGCCTACATAGTGTACCTAATGTTCCATTAAAATGACCATCAGCAGGGGCAAGGCAAATTTAGTCACAGTGCCATGTAGCTTTTGCCCCTTGTGACTACAAAGATAGCAAGAGTCCTCATTTCTGAAGAGAGGTGCTCTAATTAAAGCATTACTTCAATTACCTTAACCACTGTCCTAATATTTTATTTTTGTCAAGGGAATAAGAGGCAGTATCCTGTTTAGTCAAGGAGCCTTACAAAAGATAGGAATGAATACTGAGTGTTATTTGTTAAGAATCATTGGACTTAATACAATGACACATATGTTGAGCTCATAATTAAATGTAAGAAAGAATAGATTATTGCCTCAATAACTAAAAATAAAAACCACTTGCCTTTTACTCAAAAGTAGTACTGTAGTAGTTTTCATAACCCTTCCTACTTATTAGGGTAAATTTATCTTTCCTGCCTAGAGATCAAGAACAGAGAACTTTGGAAAATAAGTTGGATTTATATTTGAGGTAAGAAGATCCCCAATACCTATTTCCCTTTAGTAACAATTAGTAATTAATAACAGCTCCCAAAATTAGTCAAGGCGTCTTTAGAATCAAAGATTTATAATATATACAATTAAAAGTACAAATACTATAATCAAATTAATTATGAAGCAAGACTCCTTACATTCCCTTAAAAGAGGTCTTAGTAAATGTCAACTCACCGACAAAACATTATTGGTTAGGAATAGATTCAGCTGCATATAGCAGTAGCTTAGTCAAATGGATATTTAGATCTTTTTTAAATAAAAGAATTCCAAAGGAAGGCAGGTTATGGCTCTTATTAGTGACTCCATGATGCCGGTTAGGATAAAGTGTTCTCCGGTTTTCTAATAAACATCCTTAGATGACTACCAGTTATATTGCATTGTCCAGAACTACTAAAAAGTTTCTTCTCAGCAAAAGAAACAGTTTGTAAGGTGAATAGAGAGCCTACATCTTGGGAGCAAATTCTTACCCCTCACACATCAGATAGAGCACTAATCTCTAGGGTACATAAAGAACTCAAAAAGCTAAACACCAAAAAATAAATAAATAAATAAAATAACCCAATCAATAAATGGACCAAGGACCTGAATAGACACTTTTCAGAAGAGGATATACAATCAATCAACAAATATATGAAAAAATGTTCATCATCTCTAGCAATTAGAGAAATGCAAATCAAAACTATTCTACGATTTCATCTCACTCCTGTCAGAATGGCAGCTATTATGCAAACAAACAACAATAAGTGTTGGCAAGGATGTAGGGAAAAAGGTACACTCATACACTGCTGGTGGTACTGCAAATTGGTGCAGCCAATATGGAAAGCAGTATGGAGAGTCCTTGGAAAATTGGGAATGGAACCACCATTTGACCCAGCTATCCCTCTCCTCGGTTTATACCCAAAGGGATTAAAAACAGCATACAGCAGGGACACGGTCACATCAATGTTTATAGCAGCTCAATTCACAATAACTAAACTGTGGAACCAACCTAGATGCCCTTCAGTAGATGGATGGATAAAAAATGGAATATTACTGAGCAATAAAAGAGAATAAAATCATGGCATTTCCAATAACTGGATGGAATTGGAGAAGATAATGCTAAGTGAAGTTAGCCAATCCCCCAAAAAGAAATGCCAAATGTTTTCTCTGATATAAAAAGATTGATTCATAGTAGGGTAAGGAGGGGGAGCATGGGAGAAACAGATGAACTCTAAATAGACCGGAGGGGTTGGAGGAGAAGGAAGGGGGCAGGGGGTTATTAATGATGGTGGAATGTGATGAACATCACTATCCAAAGTACATGTATGAAGACATGAATTGGTGTGAATATACTTTGTATACAACCAGAGATATGAAAAATTGTGCTCTATATGTATAATATGAATTATAATGTTATAATTAAAAAAGATAGGAATTTTTTTTTAATTCTGTACTGTGAGGTACAAGTTTAGAATAAAATACTTAAGGCTTTTCATCCAAAAAAAAAAAAAGCAGGCTGGGGAGTAAGATTTTTAATCATGTATGCTGCAATCTCAAATAAAAGTAAATAAAGATAGGAATCATGTAGGTCATTAGCAAAATCTACCAGCAGCCCAAATTCAGTATGATTATCATAAGACTCCAGTTATGTACTATGTTTGTTAAAGCCCTACTAAGTGAATTGGCTGTGGAACACATAACTCCAATATCTAGATGCCACACAAGGTCCATTTTCCAGGTTTTTGTGAATTAGGTCATTTTGTGCCTTTAAGCTGCATCATTGTCTAATGGATTTCTTGGAGAACAGCCCAAGCACAGCTTGTATCCATTCACATAAAAGGATTGTGTTTAGGGTTGCTCTTCCTACAAGGGCAAGAGTAATCTATGAAGATTTCCACTCATTCAGAAAGTCACCAACAGATATATTGTGAATGGTGATTGACAGATCCAATTCAGAGAACTCAATAAAGTGGGGAGGGGGTGGTAGATGCCGCAGTCCGGCCGCAGCAAAATAACGGGGGGGGGTGGGGGGGACGAACAACTTGTGTACATTGATACAGCAGGAGTGGGAGACGTTTATTGTAGGACAGGAGCGGTATATATACATTCCACATAGCTTATCTTAATTAGCATAAACTAGATACAGCAGTCAACCAATAAGGAATCTCCACACTTAATGGCTCGCTGGAGTTACTTCACAAACCACTCCCTCTGGCAAAATGCCAGGCGCCATCCAGACTTGTTTACAGACTCTAACATTTGCCAGGCGCCATCCTGACTTGTTTACAGACTCTAACAGTAGATATGGTGTAACACTTTATTTTCCCAGCTTCTTTCTTTTTTTTTTTTTTTTTTTTTTTTTTTTTGCCAGTAAGGAAGTAGTGATATCTTAAGAACTATCAAATTCCTGAAAATGACAGCTCAGTAGCTAACAGAATCTGACACACAGTGGGTGTTCTAGTAATATCTGCTGAATAAACCTTTTGCCTATTAACCCTTAACAAAAGCTTCTAGAGGTTGGTTTAAAACAAGCATTCTTCATCTACTTAAATAAAGAAAAGGCACCAGTTAGCATCCACTCCATGTGAATTAAAGCTCACTGAGGAGCCCAAGGGAAAGTGCTTGCTGTGATCTCTCACCATGAAGGTCTTGCCCTCTCTTTGCATGACCTAGTAATTTTTTATTCACATTCAATGTTAATTAATCAGTTCTGTATGAATTGGCTTCTATTCTATTTAGCCACTAAGCAGATTATCAACATTATAAAAATCAATTTCATGTCATTTTTAATTATCATCTAATAACTTTCTATATCAGTATATTAATCACCTTGAAATAGAGGTTAAGAACTGTAAGTTGACCAAGTACTTGAACTGATGTCAAAGGTACACAAAGAACAGCCCTTGCACTGGACCGCTTATGATTCATTTAGAGACACAATATGTGATAAATTGTGTGACAATGTAAAGTTAGGTCTACCACTGTCAGATTACTAGAACAGACAATGAATGCTTCATCTTTGCCCAAAATACCAATATATTTGGGCTGTACTAAAGTGGAAATAAATACCAAATACATCCTGTGTGTAGCTCAATACTCTGAGATGTGATAAGCGGGTCACAGCACTTAGAAGATTAGAATATGTCTGTTTAGCATAGATAATCTATATGGAATTTCAGTTGAACTAGAAGAAAATAAAAACAACTATTCTTTTTCTTCTTTTTTAAACATTAGGTCATGGAACTAAAGGAGTATTTGAGCTTCTGTCTGGATGGCGGAGAACCAAAGAGAATTTACCCTTCAAAGACAGGGTTGCAGATGCCTATTCTGATGTGATGGTCACCTATACCATGACCAGCTCCCTGTACTTCATCACCTTTGGCATGGGGGCCAGCCCATTCACAAACATAGAGGCTGTGAAGGTCTTCTGTCAAAACATGTGTGTCTCTATTCTGTTGAACTACTTCTACATTTTCTCTTTCTTTGGCTCCTGCCTGGTCTTCGCTGGACAACTAGAGCAAAACCGCTACCACAGCATCTTTTGCTGCAAGATCCCTTCTGCAGAATACCTGGACCGCAAACCTGTGTGGTTCCAGACAGTGATGAGTGATGGGCATCAACAGACATCCCATCACGAGACGAACCCCTACCAGCACCACTTCATTCAGCACTTCCTCCGTGAGCATTACAATGAATGGATTACCAATATCTATGTGAAGCCATTTGTTGTCATCCTGTATCTCATTTATGCCTCCTTCTCCTTCATGGGGTGCTTGCAGATCAGTGATGGAGCCAACATCATCAATCTACTAGCCAGTGATTCCCCAAGCGTTTCCTATGCCATGGTCCAGCAGAAATATTTCAGCAACTACAGCCCTGTGATAGGGTTCTACATCTACGAGCCCCTTGAATACTGGAACAGCAGCGTCCAGGAGGACCTCCAGAGGCTCTGTAGTGGATTTACTGCAGTGTCTTGGGTAGAGCAGTACTACCACTTTCTGAAAGTCAGCAACATTAGTGCCAACAACAAGAGTGACTTCATCAGTGTCCTACAAAGCTCATTTTTAAAAAAGCCAGAATTCCAGCATTTTCGAAATGATATCATCTTCTCCAAGGCAGGGGATGAGAACAACATCATTGCTTCTCGCTTGTATCTGGTGGCCAGGACTAGCAGAGACAAGCAGAAGGAAGTCATAGAAGTGCTGGAAAAATTGAGGCCCCTGTCCCTCTCCAAGAGCATCCGGTTCATCGTGTTCAACCCCTCCTTCGTTTTCATGGACCATTACAGCTTGTCTGTCACAGTGCCTGTTCTGATTGCAGGCTTTGGTGTTCTCCTGGTGTTAATCCTGACTTTTTTCCTAGTGATCCACCCTCTGGGAAACTTCTGGTTAATTCTTAGTGTCACCTCAATTGAGCTGGGCGTTCTGGGCTTAATGACATTATGGAACGTCGACATGGATTGCATTTCTATCTTGTGCCTTATCTACACTTTAAATTTTGCCATTGACCACTGTGCACCACTGCTTTACACATTTGTATTGGCAACTGAGCACACCCGAACACAGTGTATAAAAAGCTCCCTGCAAGAGCATGGGACAGCCATTTTGCAAAATATTACTTCTTTTCTTATTGGGTTGGTCCCCCTCCTATTTGTGCCTTCGAACCTGACCTTCACACTGTTCAAATGCTTGCTGCTCACCGGGGGTTGCACACTTCTGCACTGTTTTGTTATTTTACCTGTGTTCCTAACCTTTTTCCCTCCTTCCAAAAAGCACCACAAGAAAAAGAAACGTGCCAAAAGAAAGGAGAGAGAGGAAATCGAATGCATAGAGATTCAAGAGAACCCTGATCATGTCACCACAGTCTGAGGGGTGTAGACCGATGGATTGTTTTTATTTTCCAATATTGCACAACAATGCAGGGCGAGTAAAGCTCAGACCTCAGCTGCTTGGGCTGGCCAGGGGTAACAAGGCAAGTCAGAGCAAAAGCGCACACAATTCATGACATGTCCAAGTGTCTGCTTCTTGGGCCAGTGGGGAAGAGGGAATTAAAAGGGGTGGGGAGTTCTTTGCAACCTTGTTCTCCATGAAAGATAAATTTCTGGACATGATCTTAGAGCCCTTCCAAGAAAAGGATGAATCAATGAAGTGTTAAGATAGAAGGCCAAAAGAACCAACTGCTTTTATAAAGAAAAGGCTTAGGAGAGATGCAGAGAGAGAAAGGTGGCCTCCAAATAAGGAAAAAGACATAGGAAATGTCAAAATTGCCATGTCAGTTTTCATGTTTGTTTTTTGAACAGGTTGGTCAAAGGAAACCTATGCACTTGGGAAGTACATATTTAATCCCGTCTAAACCAAAGGACTTCCCAATCCATTTTATGTGTACATATATATGTATATATGCCATATATACATATACTTAGATTTGTCTTTATTGTACATTGATGTTTGTGTGGGGAAAGGTGTCCATTTGCAGATAGGCTGGCCTTTCTCTTGAAAGTCAAATCAGCTTTAGCCAAATATATAGATTCATTAATGGCCACTCAAAATTTATAGATCATTAATGACCATTTAAAATCAACTCAAATGTCTAGTCAGCAAGAGGGTTATTCAGCTGTGTGATAAGCAAGAAACAAAACAAAACAAAAAACAAAATGTGAATCCATTAGATTCTACCTATCATCAGTCATTGAGACTCTAGCTTTGGAAGACTTAGCAAAAAAAAAAACGCAAAAAGGCATTTGAATTAATTATCACATTGACAATGTTTAAAATCCCACATCAAAGCTAAGTAGTTCATATGGCTTTTCATTGGCCTTAATAGTTATCTGGATTTGGAAGGTTGATATGGCTGCTTTGAAAGAGCTTACCCACCTGCAAATGAGCACTTTACACATGTTACCCACATATATGTGTTTAAGGGTGCACAAGTTTTGTGTGGTGTGTATGTGTGTGTGTGTGTGTGTGTGTGTTTGACTTGGGGTATTCCATACTTATAGCATTCTTATTTTAGATGGTAAAAATATACTGCCATGGTATATAGGTAATTAACAAAGGAGAAAGGAAACAACTAAGAAACACTGTAGAGTGAAATAGAGTAAAATGGACTCTCACCACTCATCACCCAGCAACAAATGGTTCTTAGTGTAAGGAAAGTATTCTAATGCTATAAACTCTAGTGTGTTCCTTGCATTAATATTTGAAACATTAACCCAGGCCATGATTGAAATATTAGTGATCACAGTAATTACTACAATATCATTTTGTAGCTTCTTGCAATATCATTGTTCTTGTTACCTAGAAAGTAGCCTCAGTTACTCATAGCTCTCTACAGGTGGTATATTAATTAACTGCAACTGATGCTGAATTCTTTCTCAAAAAACAAAAACAAAAAAACAACAACAAAAAAAAACACTGAGGTAAACATTTCCATTGTGTTAAAGTTTTAAACTGTTCCCTTGCAGATAGAATTGGTCTGTTGGGTGCTTACTTGGATTAATGTTATGCTTCCTGTTGGAGAAAATTACTAGAAAATGCCTTTTTCCAAGTCAAGCAGTAACATAATTTATTTCCAGGTAGGACAGAACAAATGTCCAATGAATAAAAAATCTGCTAGTAATTTTTGTCACCTAAGAAAGCTGCTGTGTCCCACCAACTTTGGTTGTATGTTTTAATACAATTAATAATATTAATATCTAAAAAACCAAATAAGAATCCTAGCCTCGGATAAGTCAAAGAAGAGATACAAAAACCACTCCTTCTTACTATCGTCTTTGGAGATGAAGTTGATAGATTAATGAAGAAATAACAAAACAACTGTACTTTTTTAAATGGTTTACCAGAATATAAGGAGAAAGGAGAATAAATTCTAGATTGAAAAACATTGAAATATAATGTATTTATTGAATAGAGTTTGTTTTGTCCTACCTTAAGGTTATTGAGTTTCTAGTAGAAATGACCCATGTCTTCTCTGTTATGTTCATTTGGGCCCAACAGCAATACACTTGAGTATGGAAAGTAATTGCTCATAACCATAGAGTTGTTTTTACTCTTTTTATATGTGTAAAATCATATCACCAATAACCCTAGCCTTTTACCTCATGAACTGCTATGCTAGGACGAACTGTATGTGGACTAGTAAACCTCATGATCTTATATTAGAGGTAGAAATTTCTGAGGAGATTTTTGGTTTGGGTTTTAGAGTTGGGAGGCAGTCCTCTTCCATATATTACCTGTCATTTGTGAAGTTTTGCTGTTTTATTTTGATTTTTGTTATAGGTTTTAGTGTTTTTGTTTTTGTTTTTGTTTTTGTTTTGTTTTGTTTTGTTTTTGGTTGTTGTTGTTGTTTTGCCTCCCTTTCAAAAAATGGGAGGTAATCTAGGAAATTCCACTATCACTTCATTTCTTTCTATGGTATGCCATACTCCTTTCATTTTCACCTATTTTATTTAAGTTTGCTTTTGGGGGGTTGGTTTTTTCCTTGATTACCATAAGCCATTCCAGATACAAAAATGACTAGCAGGATGATTTAAAAGAAAGAATCAAGCATGTTCATTGCCAAATCATATGGTATATTCTAGAAAACCACCAGAGCAGTTCTAATGTCATATCTCCATCCAAACAGTCTTTGTGCGGATGGGGAATGTAACTTTATTCATTCAGGTTATGTCTTCAAAGACAAGTGTCTAAGATAAATGTGAATTTCTCATTGTTCAAGAGACTAGAGAGGTGGCATTTTTGAAGGGACATTATCTTTTCCAGAACACCATGGTACTCTAGAGAACTGTAGCAATAATTTACTGAAATGGAACTTCTTGTTCTGGAAGAGTTAATACACCACCCAAAATGCCTTAATCCTAGGAAGTAATTTAAGCTCAGAAGGCTCTACCTGAATATCATCTGACCTTCCATCTTCACTGTGAAACAGGTAATTCCAAGAATTCTATTTATTGAATACCAAGATATATCCTAAAATATGAGATCATGATTTGCAGGGAGTCCCCAGCCTCAGCCTTTTTGGAAAGTTTGTGTGCACCTCTTTCTAGTTTTTCTAGTTTACTGTTATTGTTTTGTCTATTTGTGAAGTACTAACAAATGTTCAAATTAGAAAATTGTCTACTATTAACAGATGACCAATCAAATCCTAAAAGACAAGAAATGTGTGGGAAATATTTCAGATTTGTGGAATATTTTATTTAAATGAAATATGTTTTTCCTTTTGATTTTAAAAGCTTTCAAAATCCAAATTTTCTGTATTTAAACTGGAATGTTAATTTGTTCTCCCACCCCACTGGAATTTTAATTTGACATAGAAATACCATCTAAACACTACTCTCCACAATGTTAATAAAACTTCAAAGAGGTACTCACTTATGTTACAGAAAGAAATTTGGCTAACAATTAGATTCCCATCCTCTATGTAAAAGGCAGTCAGCAGCTAATTGACACCCTGCTTGACTCTTTGATGAAAGGTGTGATTAGGTGTCCTCTCATGAATCCTTGCAGTGACCATGAACCTCTTTGAAGATTGTGCAATAATATTCTATGACAGAATTATTTTCTGTGGTCGTATCTTGTGAGTGTCTCCCTCTAATTTGCTTCCCATTTATTTCCACAGAAATAAATTCAAAGGTCTTATCTTGTGATGTGAAAAGAAAACCTATAACAAGATGCTCCTATGATGCTATAATAGCCATTCTTGTATGTTGAACTCAAGAGTATGAGAGCTTTGTCCATTTTGTAATTATCCATTGTACTTTCCCATAATAAGCTAATCCTTTTAAACTTGTGGTTAGAGCTAGGGATTGACGATTGCCATTCAGATTTACATGTATTTTTATAAGTTGACTGTAAATATCGTTATTACAGTCACATATTTTTATGATCAAACAGTTATAAATGCACGGCACTATGCATGCATTGTTACTAATAGTACATAGATTATTAAAGACACTATTTTCAGGGTTATTGCACCTTTTTTTTTAATTCCCATATCACTTATCATAAATGCCTCATGGGTTTTGGTCTCAAAGGCCTAAAGTCCACAGAAAGTTCCATCTTAAGGAAAACAATTTGAAAATTGCCTTCCTTGGATGTCAATACCAGTCACCTATTCTAGAATGTCCTCTGGAAAATCCCAGGGGCTACATCTGGCTTCCAGGTAAAGGTCTTACCTGGTTTGACATTAACCATACTTTCATGTCCTTTGTTTGCTAAACGTAAGTGAACCAGAGGATATGATACCTTGAGACTGGAATTTAGATATTGTCTCCTAGGGACCCGGGAATTCAATGATTTGGTCAACCTCGTACCGGAGGGATCTCTGTTTGTTGTTCGTTGGTGTTTGTACATAGTATTGATAATCCTTTCAAATGTGAACCTGAAAACTTTCATTTTTTTCAAAGCAGCTTTAAAGTTACTTTCCTTTCTGTTATCAAAAAAATTATGAGAAATTTTATGACATTGACTCAAAACTTATCAATGGCCAAGTTGTTATGCCCTTGAAATCTCCCATAATCTAAATACAAAAGTCAGCATCAGCATTGTGGCCCTTATGCAAGCCTTTTAAGCAATGATCTTCAAATATTTTGTGTAGGGAATGAAGATGCTAGATTTTTTTTTTTTTTTTTTTTTACTGTTTAGCCTTGAAAACAACTGTAATGATATTGACTGAAATGAAAGCAGCAATGTGAAAATGAAGCAGCAAAGCCTCTTTGTATGAAGTCTGGCATGGGAGACCTGTGTACAGATGGTGGCAGATAATTCCATTGGTTCTAATGTACCAAGGTTCATCCACCATCATGTTTTAGTGAGGAGGGCAAAAGTTGGTGCTCTGTATTTGAAATGTGGTGGAGTTGGGTTAGATTATGTTTGAGGTGAGTAATTCTGATAGGACAAGTGAAATAATTCTGTATATTTTATGGTTTTGCGTATAGCACAGAGAATCAGATGGTGCCTCAAAACTACAGCTTCTTAACTGCAAATGATTATTTGCAAATATAACCCACTTGAAGACTGTGTTCTCATTTGTTGGATCAAACCCCGAGCTTTGCAAGGAAAGTGTTCCTGAATTTCTAAGCAGGAAACAAAGCCACAGACCCATTTGTGAGTGAAAATGAGAAGGCAAGGGGACTATGAAAAGAGGCTTCTAATAAGTGTTGAGGAACACATTATTCATCCCCAGGATAGCTGTCAGTATTGCTTGGATTTGGGAAGTTTTTTTGAGACAAACCGATCCATTGTTTTGATCCATTTTCTCTGTACTTAACGAGGACCTCTCTGTTACTAAATGTCACTTGCTTTTATTGTGAAATGGGAAACAATTCAAAGAGAGCAATATATGAGATCAAGTACATATTCACAGTATAGACAGTCTATGAATCACATCTTATCCCCTCTGCATCTCTAAAGATGTTGTCAAAATAAAACAGGCTTAGACTCTATACTGGAAACCTCTATTAGATAGATATTTTTAATACAAAGAAGTGTTTATAAATAAAAGCATTGCTAATTTTGCACTTTTATAAAGTATAGAAAACAAATCCCTACTATTTTTCCTAGGTGAATTTTCCCTAAGAAAACTCTCATATGTCATGCTAATCATGAAGTCTTAAAAATCAGAAGGAAGCTTTAGAAGCAGAGCAGTAGGAATAATCCACTGCTTGTGGGTGATTTCTGCTCTTTACTGTGTTAGTGCTTATCTGAGCTGGAGTTTTAATAAGCCATTTG